AGATAGATAGATAGATAGATAGATAGATAGATAGATAGATAGATAGACAATAGATAGATAGATAGATAGATAGATAGATAGATAGATATACATAGACAGACAGACAGACAGACAGACAGACCGATAGACACATAGACAGATAGACAGACAGACAGACAGGCAGGCAGACAGATAGATAGATAGACAGACAGACAGATAGAGAAGGAGGTCAACGTTTCACATCTACTAATAAATCAGCAGGTGCTGGCATTGTCTGTTGTACAAAGAACGGTTAACCACCAGACAACTTGTGTTCCTTGACGATTTACACAATGTCATCTATGAAGTGTGCTGGGGGCCAAATAATTGGACCTGAGTCCAATCAAGATAATAATTCCAGATTCCAGGACATTCAGGAAGAGAGGAGCACGTTGTGTTGACTAAAAATCATGAACTCACATAAAAATGCAATAGAAACGAGGAAGGGAAATAAGAAAGGGGTAGCTAACAGGGAAAAGGGAACCCTACATCTTCTAATCAGGGCTGTAAAGTTAAATTTGATCCAGATTCGAATAAATGAGTTATTTTTAAATGTTTTGAGAAGTATTGGCGTAGACTCCCTGGTTTACAATCTACAGCATAAGCAGACTAAGCTGTGCGACATTTTTAATGAAAGTGCTTCGCTAGCACTGGCCTTGTCCCTGGATCAAAGGAACTCGTCTAGAACACTGAAGGACTGACGGACTCGCATCTCAGTTGACACAGTATCCTACAAACCTTTAGGTGTGGGCCCTGCCATTCCACACACTGCCCTAGAGGCTTGCAGTCTTTCAAGATGTGTTGTGAAAACAGTTTTCAGTAGCATTTCCCACTGAATGCTGCACAAAAGTTTCCAATTTAAAAGCTTTTGTCTTTTTTACCAAGGCACAGTTAGCCTCCAGTACCGGATTCAAGGTGAATTCACGGTGGTTGATACCTTGGATTAGCGGCTTATTGAGTCTTTAAAAAACAGAACAGAAATTGTTTTATTAGGGGTTCTATAGTTTTGGAACCCATTTTGTTTAAGTTTGACCCTAGGGGCTAGAAAGATGAATCCGTGGTTAAGAACATTGTTTGCTCTTCCAAAGATCTGGGTTCCCAAACCCGCATGGTGGCTCACAACCACCTGTAATCAATTCCAGGGGATCAGATGCCCTCTTCTGGCCTTCAAGGGCACCAGGCATTCATGAAGTTCATGGCATACTTGCAGGCAAAACACTCATTCACATAAAATGAAAAAATAAATATTTTCTTTTAAGTTTTGACCCTGTCTTAGTTACTTTTTTATTGCTATGATAAGATACCATGACTAAATCAGTCTCTAATGGAAGAGTTTATTTGGGGCTCACAGTTTCAGAGGATTAGCATTCATGATAATTGTGGTGGGGAGCATAGCAGCAGGTAGACTGGAATAGTGCTGTAGCAGTGGATGACACCTTACATCTTGAGACACAAGCATGAGGCAGAGAGAACTCACTAGAAATGGTGTGGGCTTTGAAACCTCAAAGCCTGCTCCCAGTGACATACTTTCCCCCCATAAGACCACACTGTCTAATTCTTCCCAGACAGTTCCATAAAAAGGGAACCAAGTGTTCAAAATATACAAGCCTATGATGTAGGTGTTGCTTTCATTGGTTAATTATTAAAGAAAACTGCCTGGCCTGATAGGTCAGAACATAGGTAGTTGGGGAAGACAGAACTGAATTCTGGGAGAAAGAAGCAGAGTCAGGCAGAGTCAGAGAGCCACCCACCATGAAGCTGCTAGGTCAGACATGCTGAATCTTTCCAGGTGAGCCATGACCTTGTGGTGACATACAGATTATTAGAAATGGGTTGAATCAATATGTAAGAGCTAGCCAATAAAAGGTAATAACCAATGGGCCATGCAGTGTTTAAATGAATACAGTTTCCATGTAATTATTTCGGGTAAAGCTAGCCGGGAGCCAGGCCTCAGACCGCCGCCTCATCTACTACAAGCCTATGGGAGCTATCTCATTCAAACCGCCAGAGACCCCACAGCAGGAAAGCTCTCACACAGCCAGTCCTTTAATATATGTGTTTTATTTTGTGTGACTGTATACGGGGGCGGGGGGATATGTTTGCCATGGTATGAGGAGGCCAGAGGACAATTTGCAGGGGTTGGTTTTCTCCTTCCACCATCTGAGCTTCCAAGATTGAATTCAAGTTTTTAGTCCTGACAGCAGGTGCCTCTACCCACTGGTACCCATTTTACTTATCTTTTTGAACACTCATTCTTAAATATTCTGTATATTAGGAAATATACAAACTTACCTTCTCAAAGACAGGGAAGTAACGGGTTTTAGCTCTCTTCACTATTAAAGCATAGCTCTCCTCTTTTTCCTTCGGGGGTTTAAATGCAGCCTGGGCAATCATTATCATCAGGTCCAGGGTGCCATCAGTATACATGTCAATCCTGGAAAAACAGCATAGACTCCCATTGGAAAGGAGCCTTCAAGAGCAGGCTTCCCAGTGCAACACTGGACAGGATACATAGTGTTAGCAAGTGGTGTTTGATTCTCCCAAAAATCTTCCACTCTCAGGAATGATTTCCAGAACCAAATCTAGCCAGGTGATACAGTAGAGACTCTGAAGATGTTTACTGAACGCATGAAAGATGCCTCTAAGTCAAAACCTGCCACAAACAGAGTGGGACTGTGATGGTTTGGAGATTTAAAAACACTTAATAAAAAATAAGCATCAGGCTGAGCAGTGGCGGCACACACCTTTAATCCCAGCACCCGGGAGGCAGAGGCAGGTGGATCTCTGTGAGTCTGAGGTCCACCTGATCTATAGAGCAAGTTACAGGACAGTCAGGGCTGTTACACAGAGAACCCCTATTTCAAAAAAACCAAAAGAAAGGAAAAAAGGAGGAAAGAAAAAGAAAAAAGTATACATCAAAACAGTGAAACTGCACAGTATTTATAGGTCATGGAACTGCTTCTCCATCTGTTTCCGTGGGGAAGGCGTGGGAGTGTAGAGATAGACTGCTGCTTCTGAGCTTCGCACATTCCCATGTGAAACTTTCTCTGTTTTCTAAATAATGGAACTTGGCCTTTTCTACTACTGCACTTTCTATACGTACTGATCACTCTACCACGTCCATGTTTGCCATGATGAGATTTTAGGGAGCCTGTACTTAACCCCAAACCTAGATTAAATTTTATAACTGAAAGTATTTTTCTCTACTCTACATTTACTTATCTGTCATGAAAACAAACTATTTATAATACAACTATAATAATACAACTATCCTTAGCCAGGTCTCGAACAGCATATAACATAGCAGATATCTGTGGTATATAGATGCAAAACAACAACAACAACAACGAGAAGAAACCCTACAGCTTTTCGTCCTCCAGTATTTATGATGGGACCTGTCAGGCCCTTCTCTGGGTGCGTGTTTCCAGGCTGACCTTGTGAGTGACAAATGAACACAGTAGAAGTATGAGGGAATAGTTCTGGGTTGAGCTTATGACACTTACATCCTTTCCCTTTCACTCTTAGAATTTTGTCTGTGTTCCATGAGAAGATTAGAATGACAGTATGGAAGCTCTATGGCCTATTCTCCCCCCAAACCAACAATCTGCAATACCTAAACCCAGAACTGCCTAGCTCACTACTGATTGGCAGACATGTGAGTCTAGCTTGGATAAACCCAGCCTAAGCCAGATAGAGGCCACCCAGAAACTTATAGACAAATGCTTGCTCATTGAAATTTGCTTCAAGTTCATAGCTGCTGTGGAAATTTCTTCAGGCAATAGCCTATTGGTGACTGGCACATTTTGGGCATGATCAAATGTACTATATAAATAGATGTAAAATCATGTGTAGCCCATTGGCTGCTAGATTAGGTTCCTGTTCCCTGCTCATGCAGAGGACTGCTGATCTGTGAGTCTACCCCTAAATAAAGATATCTTTATTATACTCCATTCTGAGCTAGTGTGGTACTTTTTTAAAATTGTAATCAACACCAGACTGGTGCCCAATGAACAGACATCAAAATGCCAAATGTTTTAATTAAGGTAGAACAGGACATCTAAGAAGGGATTATAGACAGGCATTCCTAGAAATAATGTCTCCCCTGGAAATGACAAAATAGAAGGTCTCAATCTTGAGGATTATGTAGAAGATGCGGCAAAGTCTGACATTGGACCAATGAATGTAGATCAATAAGAGACAAACAAGGCAATACATTACCATCAGAAAACTCCTTGTGGGGTCTCTCACAGGCCCACAGGTCAAATGTGGTCCAGTCATTCCCAGCCACTGTGAAGGACTTGTCTCCCCAGGAAAATTTAAAATTCCAGTGCCTGTTGTAAAAAACCATACTGTGGCAGACGCCATGAATCTCCTACCTGAGTTGGATGTAGGTTAAAATTCTGCTGGTAAGCCACAATCATGTGGTGATACACAGACTTAATAGAAATGGGTTAACCAAGATGTGAGAGTTAGCCAATAAGAGGCTAGAGCTAATGGGCCAGGCAGTAATTTAATTAATACAATTTCTGTGTGATTATTTTGGGTGTAAAGCTAGCTGGGCGGCAGGACGTGGCCTGCTCCTCCTACTACACATACTGTTCTGGATGATAGAATAAATATGGAGGATGAGTAAAAAATTCCAGTAGAAAATAGGAAGCGTATATCTTGGTAGACGTCTATAAATGCTCAAAGACCAAAGCTGAGAGTACTACTAAATAACATTGTAATTGAGGGATTATTGGACAAGAGTGCAGATACATGAGTATCATTACTCCAGAATCTTGGCATCCATATTGGCCTCTTCAAGAGACAGATATTCAATTCCTAGGATTTGAAACCCTATTTCAAGTGAAACAAAGCATGAGATGGGTTGAATGCATGGGGCCAGAAGGATAAAGAGGAAGGCTGAGGCCATAAGTGGCTAATATACCAGTGACTCTCCGGAGCCATGATCTGCTACAGCAATGGAATACTCGAATTAACATTCCTGTAGTCCTAGAAATGGGACATAAACCAACTCATGTATCTGGGATTGATATTATAAGGTACTATAAAAAGCAGTCACTGGTCATCCAGGCAGTACAAAAACACAAAACAACTAGCAAACATTCAGAGATACAAATGGCCCTACCTTTAAAATGGTTACCTAAGAAATCAATATGAATTAAACAATGACCTTTTACAGAAAAGAAACTACAGGTTTTAGAACAGGAGTTCTAAAGGATACAGGAGCAACTAGGTGAAACAACCAGCCCTTGGAATTCTCCTGTATTTATTGTTAAAAAGAAATCTGGAAAATGGAAAATGATTACAGATCTAAGAGCTATCAACAAGGTGATTCAACTAATAGGCTCTCTACAAACTGGAATTTTTTTGCCTTCCCTATTACCTAAAGGATAGCTTCTTATAGTTATTGATTTAAAAGATTATTTCTTCACTATACTTTTGCAAGATAGGACAGAGAAAAACTTACCTTGACAATGCCTATTTATAGTAATTCTCAGCCTTCTAGAAAATATCAATGGACCATCTCCCACAGGGAATGTTCAATAACCCCACCTAGTCAGCCATTGGAAATAATACATAAACAATTGCCTAAATCTTAATTTACCATTATATGGATGACATTTTGCTATCTGATTCAAATGTAGATACTTTAGAAAGAATGTTTGAAGAAGTAAAGAAAGTATTGCTTAAATGGGGATTACAAATTGCTCTTGAAAAAATACAAAGAAAAGATTCTATCAATTACCTAGGTTATAAAATAGGTTTACAGAAAATTAAAACACAAAAAGCACAAATTAGGAGAGACCCATTGTGGACTCTTAATGACTTTCAAAGATTGCTAGGAGATATTTCCTATCTATGACCCATTGTTGGGATAACACCCAATCTAATAATTCATTTAAACAAAACCTTAGATAATGAGAAAGACTTAAATAGTTCCAGGGAATTTGCAAGTGAAGCTGAGAAAGAATTAACTTTGATTGAAGAGAAATTACAGAAGGCACATGTGGATTTGGTGGATCCAAATCTTAACTGCATTCTAGTCATATAGCCCTCCAGAATTTACCCTATAGAAATTTTAATGCAGAGGGAAAATATTATCTTATAATGGATCTTTTTACCACATAAACCAAGTAAAAAATTAAAAACTTATGTGGAAAAGGTCTTTGAAATAATTATAAAAGAAAAATTTAGAATTCATCAGTGAGCTGGAATAGACCCAGCAGAGGTTATAGTACCTTTTACTAATGAAATTAAAAAACTATGGGAAGACAATGAACCCTGGCAAAGAGTTTGTGCTAATTTTTTAGGAGAGATTAATAGCAATTATCTCCAAAGCGATAGACTTAACCTTATAAAAAGAACTACTTGGATTCTTCTCCACATTGTATGTGACACAGCAATATCCATAGCCCAGACATTCTATACTGATGCAAATAAATCAGGAAAGGCAGGTTACAAATCAAAAGATTTAAGTAAGGTGGAATAAAGCCCTTATAATTCTGTCCAAAAGTCAGAATTCTATGCTATTCTCATGGTACTAAGGGATTTTAAATAAACTCTCAATATAGTTCCTGATTCACAATATGCAGAAAACGTTGTTTTGCATATTAAAACCACTGAATTATATCAAATGATACAGAATTGACTTCATTATTCATTCAAATTCAAGATATAATTAGGAATAAGCTTTGTCCCGTATGCATAACATAAATCTGATCCCATATGGGTCTGACAGGTCCTCTAGTTCAAGGTAATGCAAAAATTGATTAATTATTGATTGGAAATGTGCTGAAGACCTCAGAATTTCATAAAAAATATCATGTCAATAGCAAAGGTTTAAAGAAAGAGTTTTCTATTACTTGGCAACAAACTAAGAAGATTATAATAAAATGTTCTATTTGCTCTTTCTATAACAAAATACTGCTACCTGCAGGGAATAACCCAAAGGGTACTCAAAGGAATAAAATCTCACAGTTTCACTTTGCAAAATTTGGAAAATTAAAATACGTACATCACACCATTGACACCTATTCAGGTTTTCAATGGCCAGCTATCTTGAGCTCAGAAAAGGCTGATTCAATAATCACGCATTTATTAGAAGTTAGGGCCATCATGGGTATACCTGCACAAATAAAGACAGATAATGGTTCCACATATGTCTCCAAGAAAATGAAACAATTTTTTGGCTATTATAATATAAAGCATATTATAGCTATACCAAACAATTCTACAGGTCAGACAGTCATAGAAAAATCAAATTGAACTATAAAGGATACATTAAACAAATAGAAAGGGATGGAAAATATCCCCAGAATTAGATTGCATAATGCTTTATTAACCTTGAATTTTCTTTTTTTAAAAAAGATTTATTTATTTATTATGTATACAACAATCTGTCTGCATGGATGTCTGCAGGTCAGAAGAGGGCACCAGATCTGATTACAGATGGTTGTGAGATGTAGAAGGCCGCAACCACACTCTCCACCATAGATGGCGCTGCACTGTCAGGTGAGCTAGAAAGCTCACACGTGTTGGTATTTTTCCACTACTCCCAAGGTATCACCTGGGACTGGGAGCAGTTGACCAATCCAAGAATGACACGTTCCAAAGCAGGGTCTGTTTCCTATATAAGGGATGGGTTCCATCTTATCTGGGTCTCCGCCATGTGGCTTATGCTCTAGCTCCCAAGAGGATTAAAGCCTTTCTGCAGAAGTATCCTATGTGTACCGCGTGGTTCTTGCTGGCGAGACGGTAGCGCGGGACAGTGAGCCACCATGTGGTTGCTGGGAATTGAACTCAGGACCTTTGGAAGAGCAGCCAGTGCTCTTAACCTCTGAGCCTTCTCTCTAGCCCCCAACCTTGAATTTTCTTAATGCTAATAAGAAAGGAACAATGGCAGCAGAGTGACATTAGATAATAGAAAAAACTTCTGAATTAAATCATCCAGTGTATTTCTAGGATGTGTTGGCCTCATAATAGAAACCAGGAGATGTGCTATGTTGGGGAAGGGGTTTTGCTCTTGTTTCCACAGAAGAAGAGAGGCTACAAATACCATCAAAATTAATAAAAATTTAATTTGAAAAAGAGAGACCTCTTGAGAAAGAAAAAAAAAATGACAGCTCATCCACAGAGGTGACAATCATACAGGTGGTAAGGAAACCTCATAAGGATTGGGGCAGGGTTCTGATCTTGTCTTTGCAGGAAAATCCTCATCTTTAAAAAGTCGAGAGAACTTGGATATCTAGATGCCTAAAGAAGAAAAGATAGCTATCGAAAAATATTCACCACCAAAGAGGAATCTGACTTATGGTACCATACCCTCTACAGGGCAAAATTTTATTATATATATGATGTAGGTGGCTCTTCTGTCGATGGTTACTTTCATTGGTTAATAAAGAAACTGCCTTGGCTTTTTGATAGGGCAGAATTCAGATAGGTGGAATAGACAGAACAGAATGCTGGGAGAAAGGAGCAGAGTCAGGGAGACACCATGATTCTCCTTTCCGAGACAGATGCTGGTAAACCACGACCAATTATTAGATATGGGTTAATTAAGATGTGAGAGTTAGCCAATACGAGGTTAGAACTAATGGGCCAGGCAGTGTATAAATGCATACAGTTTCTGTGTAATTATTTCGGGTGTAAAGCTAGCCGGGAGGTGAGAAATGACCCACCGCTCCTTTTGCAACATATATACATATATAATTTTTTTCTTAGTATAATAAAAACATAAATCACTTAAAAATCAGAGATGACTTTGGAATTGGACAGTGTCTATTCTTCTCTAAATCCAAGCATGTTGTTTAAAAAATCAGAGTTTCTGTCTCATATCAAGAACCATCTGGTATGGGACAGAAAAAAAAAAGAATTTAGAAAAAATTTTACTTCTTCCCATACCTATTTTGTCTCTATTGTACCTTTCATTAAATATATGTCTATATGAATAATGGTTAAGTTTTCCCCAATGAACAATAAATTCTCCTGAAGTAGTCTTTGAAGTTTCCAGGAAGAAGATGGGACCCCGCAACAATGATTCCACCTGGTTGATATGATGTCATGCTGCTGATAGTGGTACTTTAAGATTGGTTTTGGGTACCAGCTGCTCAAGATGATTCCAACTTGGCTAGCTGAAATGGTGCACCTTCTTACAACATTCTGGCCAGAACTTCAAATAAGAACTTCAGAGAAACCCTACCAACTACTTAGAGACTATTTATAATTATACCAGACAGTAATCTTGAAACTTAACCATCATTTTAGTTTTTACAGGATCCCATAGCAATAACATTGCCCCCATGACAGCTGAAAGTAATTCTAGAAGACGATATACCCTCTCCCAACAAAGTATGTCCTCAGGGTTAGGTACAGGGGTTAATTACAAGTGGTATAGGGTTGGAGTTGAGGTAGAAATTATGTGGCTCAGGGGTCTCTTAAAAAAAAAAGAAATTGGATGGGATAATAGGTAGATCAGTGTGAGTTTATTCATAATAATAGTAATAAAGTGAATACTTGTGAGCTACTATTTATAGACAATCTACATTGCTATAAATTATTGTATATTGTTACAAATTTAAATTGTATGTTACATTGAATATGCTATTTCTGTTTATAATATTTGTAAACCTATGCAAAGTTATTTTGTCATATTGTGTGCATGCATGTTTCTACCTTGGCTTAAGATATTTTGCATATTGATACAATTTCAGGATATATTTATCATATTGTACTATGATACATTTCTACCTCTGATCAAGATACTTATACACTGTTTACATTTTGGGGTCCTTGTCTTCATTTACTGCACAGTTGTTTAAAGATTGTCTAATATTTTAATATAAAGCCTTAGTCTTGGGGCTGGAGAGATGGCTCAGTGGTTAAGAGTACTGGCTGCTCTTCCAGAGGTCCTGAGTTCAATTCCCAGCAACCACATAGTGGCTCACAGCCATCTGTAATGAGACCTGGTGTCCTCTTCTGGCATGCAGGCATACATGGAGGCAGAATGTTGTATACATAATAAATAAATAAATCTTTAAAAAAAAAGCCTTAGTCTTTTAAGCTATATAGGTATTAAGATTATAGGTCAATAGTCATCTATGTTTGTTATAGTTAGACTAATCAGATTCTTTAGATACACAGAGATTCTATTCTGCATAGATAGGTAATTTTCAACCACTTCAAAGAACTGTAGAATATGGGATTTAAATAACTTAGGGTTCTGTTGACGCGAGACATCATTGCTCCTGGCAGATCCGATGTATTCCAGAGAGAATATTGGGCGCCGAATACATTCCTCTTGGAGCTTATTTTCTTCTTGGCAAAACTGGCCTTTGGGCAAGGAACTGCTAATGCCTCAACCACTGACAAAATGCACAGTGTCCAAACTGGACAAGCAGGATACAAGAAAAAAGACTGCCAAACCTTGCCAAGACAGGGTAAGATGTTTTTAAATTTTTCCTGCCTCTGAAAATAGTCTGTCAGTTACTCTAGGCCTTAGCCAAAGTTGGTTGCTCCAACATTGCAAATGAGATTTTGGGTGATTGCCCAGGTAGCCAGTTGTCTCTGTCATGTATTGCACCTTTTGGAAGTTGCTTGATTGCACTTCTTGTTTACTCAAGTAATATTATTTCCCTTCTCAGGTCTTTGATGGGTTTGAAGACTAGATAGTCATAGTTACTTTCCTCTCATGACTTAGCCAAAAAATTTCTAAGATAAGACTTAGAGTCCATAGGATAGGATAAGTATTGAAACATTTAGCATATGTTTCATGCTTGATATTATTTATGCTGGTTATAATTCTAATTTTTATATTTGATATTTGTTTTTATTATATATAGGTTTGTATTAGGCTTAGAACTCTTTTATTTTAGATAAAAGGGGGAGGTGTTGTGGGAATTCCCTCAGCCAATAACCTTTAAGATACTGGCCCATTCTGGGCTTGGTCAAATGTACTATACATACAGATGTAAAAACGTGTGTGGACTCCTTGGCTTGCTGGATTCCATTCCTGTTCTCCGCAAATGCAGAGGACAGCTGATCTGTGAGTCTACCCCTAAATAAAGAGATCTTTATTACACTCCATTCTGAGCTTATGTGGGACTATTTTATTGTAATCGACAACAGATAACAAAATAGATCATCGATAAGATGTTCAAGGTTTGTTTGCTGAATCAGTCATTCGCACCTTCATGTAAAATACTTTACTAGGTTAATTTCTGAGATCATAGTTTTCTAGGCATGAATATGAGACTATTATAAGCTGACTAGTATGGGTTATATCCAAGGAGAGGGTAGATATGTGCTCAGAATTCTGCACAAGCCCTGTCTCCTCTAGCCACAGTGCCTCCCCTTTGTTCCCTTACTCTTCCCGTTTAGTTCTGGTTGAACGATGCAATCAAATCAGGTTTCGGTTGGTATAAGATGCTTGATTTAAAAATCTAGTAGAGGAATGAGCACTAAAGTACCTGAGTCTCTCCTTCAGGTCCTTCCCGTACAAGTTGTACTTGGCAGCGAGGTAGCTGAGGATGGCTCTAGACTGTGTCAGCGGCATTCCATCAATCTCAACCAAAGGGACTTGATCAAAAAGCAGACGGCCATCTGCAACATGAAAGAGAGGGTAAGATAACGTCTTCAACGATTTCAACGGTTGCAGCTCATCTGCAGGATGGCCCAACTAATTCCACAGAACGGTTTTTGCTTAAAATGATAATGACAGGTCACAGTAGGTAAGAAACAACAATCATTTATTTTATGTCAAATCCGAGCTTTGTTTGATTACTTCGTGCTTTTTGTGTGTGTGTGTGTGTATTGAACAACAGCAATTTTAAAAAGATTTTTCTGGAGCTGGAGAGATGGCTCAGCAGTTAAAAGCACTGACTGCTCTTCCCAAGGAGCCGGGTTCAGTTCCCAGTACCCACATGACAGCTCATAGCTGTCTGAAAATCCAGTTCCAAAGGTCTAACACCTTCACACCAATGCACATAAAATAAAGTTAAATTAGAAAAAAATTTTAAAAAAGATTTTTCTGTATTCATTCTAATATATATATATTTATAAACTGTTTTATACAAATACATATACATATATTTTTACAATATATTTGTACATATGTTTATACAAATACATATACAAATACAGAGTAAATTTTACATGTATATAAAAAGATCTCAAAGCTTAAACTGTGTAACAGTGTTTGGGCATAAAGGTTGCCAAGAATGCCTCATCCTCAGATATTCTGAGTGGGGACTGAGGTCTGAGAATATGCGTCTATTAAAAGCACATCACTTACTGCTGTAGGGCATGACAATAGGAAGGACGCAGCCACAAGAGCACATCGCAGGCAGTCATGCATTACTAGACATGCACGCTGGAACGTCGGCATCCTGTCTCTAACAATAATATCTATTTAGCAGGACTTTGAAAGGAGATAATATCACATAACAATGCCAGGAATCCAAGTAAATCAAAACCAAGTTTTCATTGGTGACTGCTTACATAACTGTAGTTTATTGTTGCTCACCAGCAGGAAAACCTTTTGAGACTTGTGTATTAGGTAATTTTGTCCTTGTGTGGATACTGTAGTGTGTACACACACAGACTAAGATGCCTACGGAGTCACTAGGCAAAATAACCTCTCCAAGGCTTAGGCTGCATCATGAAGGAGGGGCCAGAATGGATGCAAGAGCGAGAGGATGGGGGAGGGATGCTGTGAGATGGTGCCTCTGGGTCAAATGCATCAGAGGAATCACAGCAGTTATGGTTACTGGGACTAGCTTAAGACTGGGCCCATCAGCATTCCATCACGGATAGGAGGGACACTAGGGCTCCATTCTTCCCTGAGGAGCCATTGATAGTTAATGGATCCTGGAGGAGGGGGAGTCATTGTCTTTAGTGGTGTGGTGTAAAATGTCTGTGCTCTAGTAAACAACCTCTGACCCATGCTCATGCAAACAATTCTAATTAAATTCTGTGAGTCCAAAGGAAAAAAAAAGAAGACATAAAAGTAGGAAGGGGGCTGACAGAAAGAAGAAAGCATTCAGTGGGGGGATGGGGAGATTGGAGAGGGTAATGGGGTGTTATCAAAATAATTCATATACATGAATGGAATTGTCAGAGAATAAATTTTAAAAGTAAAAAAAAAATGGGCATGGTTCAGTCTCAAGTATATCCTGTGTGTCACAATTTGATAGATTTATTAAAAAACACAAAGAAAAATTAGGTGTGAACCACAAAACGTTGGGGCTAGTCTCCTTACCCTGCCCCTCAGCCATGGAGACAAGGTTAAGCCTTGCTAAAGGGTGCAGAGCTGCTAAGGAACGTATACTATTAATTAATTGAGGCCGGTGCTGTCAGATACTTTGTTCGTATGAAGTCTACAGAGATCCGATAGTTGATGCATTAGCTTTGCATCAGGAAAACGAGGATTAATCAGCCAGCATTTGTAGGAATGTTGGTGCCAGTCCCTTCCAGTAGCTGCCATTCCTGAGACCTGTGTTCTATATGATGACTGACTATATTTCCAGAAACAAGTTTTGATTTTTTTTCCGATAAGACAGCATTGAATGAATCAAGGCTCACCTTTTAGCAACTTCTCATATTGTTCTCTTGTCTCCAGAAATTCTTCTTCAAACTAGAGTAAGGAGAGACATGGTTATAACTTTTAAGATGGGAAGCAGGGAGACAGAGATTTCAGTACCTTTTGGAAATATGTTATAGCTTTCAGAATAAAATCTAAAAGGGAACCGCAAAGCTGTCGGCTCCCACCTAAAAGTAAGATGGGGCACGTATTTAGAGATTAACTGTCAGGGGTGTCCAGCCTTTTGACACTGTGACATGATCTTGTCATCTACTAATGCATTGGCTGCATTCATAGCTATCCTGGGATGCATGTGGCTGGGGGGCTTCTGCTTGGATGATCCTGAGGGATGAAAGGGACCGGAAGACCCTACATCAAGGATTTACCTACATCAAGGATCCCCAAGCCCCTCTTTTCCCACTTTTGTTTGCCTGGACTAGCTCTTCCCTTACTCCAAACACTTGTCTTTACCCCAAACTTCTCCAGTGATTTTCCCTCTGCCCCACCCCCCTCTTCTTTCTATTTGGTTTTTATAATGTTTCCTTCCTACCAGATCAAATTCAGTTTATCTTTAGGACTGATGTATTCAAAGAAAGAGATCCAAAGATCCCACTCAAGTGAGGCTGTGGTCATTTCCTGCTAGGTTTTCTAAAGCTTTGCGAGGGTAGTTTTGTCCTTCATGTCTTGAGATGGTGTGGGACAGTTGGGCAAGCTAAGGAAGAGTCCTTATAGGGAAAAGTGGAAAGCAAAGGCAGCAGAGAGCCCTTATTCCGAAGGGCATGGTATGTATGCAGACTGAGAGACACAATTCTAGGCCAATTCTATATTCGGTGGCAGGGGTTAGAGATAAGGGAAGAGCCAGTTGACATATCGCACATCTGGGCTGGGGCTCCAGTGGGCAGCCATGAACATTCCATTAGTGAGGGGCTCAGGGAGGGGTTAAATGGCCTCAGAAAAACCAACCAGTCCAGTGGAGAGAATGAGCTAGATGTACAGTTCTTCCTCTAAGATCTTTTCATCTCTAGGAGCTTCAGACTACCCCAGGCCTTCATCTTCCCTCTTCCCTGGTGACTCTAATCTCCTCCCTGCTTTTCTCTTATCTAAGAACACAGCTGGAAAAAAGGGGAAGAAGGAGCTGGGCCTTAAGTTCCACCCCCATCCAGGAACTAACCTCCACTCCCGCCGCAGCCAGCAGCCAGCGGATGGACTCCATCCTGCCTCTGCCCTGAAAGTAGTAGAGCTTGGGCTTGGCTTCCATGACTCCTGGTTCAGTTTCCTAGGGGGCAGCAGTAAAAAGTACAAACTAGCACAGTGTATACTTTGTCTCCATTCATAGCCAGGATGAAACAGGGTAAGCAAAGTCCTTGTGCAGGGATGTGTCCTTGTGCGCGCACACGCGCACACACACACACACACACACACATACACACACACACACACACATACACACACACACATACACACACACACACATACACACATACACACACACACATACACACACACATATACACACACATACACACACACACATACACACACACACATACACACACACATACACACGCACACACACACATACACACACACACACACACACGAGGTAAAGCTACGGAGAAAAAGCACACAAAGGCAGGATAAGGGGTGACTCTTATGAACATCTGGCTAGGACTGGGGAGGGGCATTTGAGGTTTCTTGGCTGTCAACAAGGTTCTGCTTCTGGAACAGAAATAGCAGTCTTTAAAATTAGCCACTGAAATGTGTATAAATTGTTTGCTTTATGCTTTATAAAATGCTGTCACTCACAACTTGAGACACAAGAACAAACTATACTCAACAAGGGTATATTATTTGAGATCACCTCTGATTTTTGGAGAAAGGAACCAGGAATTGATATAATAGTTTCCTGAATATCTCTGAAAAAAAATATCTTTTCTAACATCAGCAAAGAGTCGGGCCTGCTTGAACTGGACTGTCCAGTAGGAACTTGGAGCCTTTAATTGGTGCCAAAGACTTTATTTTTCCAGGTAATAACACGGCAACAAAATAGCATACAATATGTTAATCATAATGACAAGTTAGAAAATACCAAGTTGGGGCTGGAGAGATGGCTCAGTGGTTAGGAGCACCGACTACTCTTTCAGAGGACCTGGGTTCATTTCCTGCACTCAGATAGCAGTTCACAACTGTCTATAACTCCAGTTCCAGGGGATCTGACACCCTCATACCAATGCACATAAAATAAAATTAAATAAAAAAAGAAAAAAGTGCCAAGTTAAGAGCTAGCTAACTTCATTACCCACTTTCTCCAATAGACAGATCATCTGAGCGAAAATTAAACATCTGAATTAAATGACATCATAAATCAAACGGACCACAATGTAATAAAGCCTAAAATCAATGAATTACTAGTAGTTATACAAACTCATGGAGATTAAAAACCACATTACTGAATGATGGCTGGGTTTAAGAAACAACCAACAACCAACAACCATACAACCATAGGAAAATTTATGAAAATTCCTAAAATCAAATGAAAATTAAAACAAACACAACAAAATATCTGGAACACATTAAAACCAGCCCTAAGAGGAAAATTTATGCTCTGGAAATTAGAAAGAGTTGGAGATATGGGTAGGCAGTTATGAGCACTGGCTACTCTTGTTTAAGACCCTAGTTCAATTCCCAGAACCCATCTGGCAGCTCATAACTATTTGTAACTCCAGTTCCAACCCCCAGCTCCAAGGTAATCAAATGCCCTCTTCTGGTCTCCTTGAGCACTGTATGTATTTGGTGCACTTATACACATGCAGGCAAAACACTCATACACATAAAATATACATACCTAAACATATGTATATATTTTACTTAGAAAGAGAACAAATAGATGACTTGATAAATCTCCAGAATTTGGAAAAACAAAAACAAATCAAACCCAAGTCTAGTAGATGGGAAGAAATACAATAAATTCAAGCAAAATGAATGAAATAGATACAAAGAAAACACAAAGAATCAACAGATCTAAGAGCTGGTTCTTGAAGAAGCTAAACAAGCTCAATAGACTGTTGATCCAATTAATCAAAAAAAAAAAAAAACCAAAAAACAGAATCAGCCTTGAATAAGAAAACATTACCACAGAAACCAAAGAAAGTCAGACTCGCGTAAGGGAATACTTTAGAAACCTATATTCAATTAGGTTGCAAAATCTTAAAGAAATGGATGAATTTCTAGATGCACCCAAACCACCAAATTTAAACCAAAAAGAGGTCAGAAACCCAAAGAGATCCATAACAAACAAGGAAATTGAAGTAGTAACGAAGAGAGGTCCCCAACCTACAGACCTTTAATAAGAAGACTGAAGCAGGAACGAGAAGTCTTCCAGCTAGTAGAGAATGGCTGGACCCAGAGGGACTCGCCGTGGAATTCCATTAGACATTCAAAGAAGATCTACAGCCAACATTTCTTGTATTAGTTAAAAAAGAAAGCGACAGAAAGACAAGGAGCCCTCAAAACCCCTTCAAACCCAGTCCGGTATACAAAAGAGCAAAGCATTTAAACAGTGGTAAGAAACCAAGGCATTGTCAGTCCTGTGTCTCTCATCCAGGTTCTGCTTGAGTTGGTCTGAACTAAATTATTTTTAAATATGCAAAGTGCTACTATTTACAGTAATCAGTTCTTCGTGCACAAAGAAAAAGGTGGCACCTGGGCATAGTGGCACACATCCCAGGCTGAGGCAAGAGAATCCTGTTGCACGTCTCCAAGTGTCTGGTCATTTAGCAAAATTATTTAGCATCTGCTCTGTGTATAGAAAGTTCCCTTAGATATGCTGTTCCCCCTTTTCAATCCGCCATCTGTGGTGGCACCGCTGCCAGGATGCAAATTTTCGTGAAGACCCTTACAGGGAAAACTGTCAGGCTCGAGGTTGAGCCCTCGGACACTATAGAAAATGTCAAGGCCAAGATCCAGGATAAGGAAGGAATTCCTCCCGATCAGCCTCTGATCTTCCCTGGCAAGCAGCTGGAAGATGGCCGTACTTTGGCTGACTACAACATCCAAAAGGAGTCCACCCTTCATCTGGTGTTGAGACTTCGTGGTGGTGCTGAGGAAAGGAAGAACAAGTCTTACACCCCTCCCAAGAAGAACAAGCATAAGAGAAAGAAAATTAAGATGGCTAGGCTATATTGAAGTACTATAAAGTGGACGAAAATGGCAAAATTAGTCGTCTTTGTCAAGAGTGTCCTTCTGATGAATGAGGTGCTGGAGTTTTCATGGCTAGCCACTTTGACAGACAAGTGCTGCCTCACTCACTGCTTCAACAAGCCAGAAGACAAGTAGCTGCGTATGAATAAATAAAAAGACAGGAATTGATGTTTAAAAACAAGGTTTGCTGTTCCTAAATATATTTTGCTAAAATACATTACGATCAATCAGGTAGGCCTCACACATAAAGATTAAAGTTTTTACCAGAAGAAAAATTATCACACCTTTTTTTTTGGTTAAGTATATTGAAAGAAATAGTATCATTAAAGCAAAAACAACAAAATACCACATTGTTGGCGTGTGTGTGTGTGTGTGTGTGTGTGTGTGTATATATATATATATGTGTGTGGGCGCGCGTGCGCAGTGATAGAATATTTGCTTCACAAGCAGAAAGTCCTGGGTTTCACACACACACACACACACACGCATGCACACACGCACGCATGGTGAGTACACATATAACACAGCATTACAGAAATTGCACAGAGCCTTACAGAATGTCTTAGGTCACTTTCTGCTGTTCTTTGCTTTCTGTTGCTCTGCTAAAAACTCTGACCAACAACACTTCACTTTTCCTAGACATCGTCTGCTGAGGGAAGCCAAGGCGGGAACGGAAGCATGGAAGGTACACTTTCTACTTACGGGCGAGCTTCTCGGGTCTTGCTTAGGCTGTAGCTTTAGACTAGCACTCTGAGAGGCAGGAATGAACTTGAGAACCAACAGATCGAAAAACTCCAGTTCGTACTCCTCAAGAGTTGTCCAAGTATGAACCGAGTTAAACAGAGCTGGCTCACCAAGTGGGCTTTTGGTGCGCCGACCTTGGGGGGTGAGGTTTCAGAATGGGAGCCGGTGCACAGCGGTTCATCCCAGAGCTCATTTGGCTTGAGCAGAGCGTAGCCGTGTGTGATAGCTTTGGGCTAACTGGGTTACTGCTTAGAGAAAAGGAAGTAAGTCCAAAATCTTCTAGAAGACGGAACGAGTTAAGCCACAGGTCCTAGCTGAAATTTCAGCTCTAAGCCAGGCAGGAGGATGGTCTAGGGCTGCCTGGGCTACAAAGAGAGTTCATCGCCAGCTTGAGCACTTTAGTAAGACCCCCATGTCAAAATAAAAGTAAAAAGTGCGCTGGGGACATAGCTCAGAGCGGTTACTGAGTATAAACAAGGCCCTAGGTCAATAGAGGAATAAAAGAAAAAAAATAATTGCACCTCTCTTTTCAACTAGGTTCTCAAATTCTGTGAGCCTCAATCTTCTCATTCGTTCAAGACCAATGGTGTTCTTCGTTTCTGTTCATTGATAACTCATTTCGTTAGCTATGTCGTTGAGAGGAGATATCAAGTGCAAATCGCTGAACAGAGCAACTGAAAATTGACCCTCCTTCCTCTCAGATGACGGCAACATTTGCATGTGGGAAAAGAGGAACCTTGTTTCTGTCAGGAGGGAGCAGCTTTCTCCAGAGTACACTTGTGGGCCACCAGAAGCAGTTTCTAGGTGCCTCTTAGGAAGGTAGAGATCGGGGCTGAATAGATGGCTCAACTGTTAACAGCCTTGGCTGCTCTTGCAGAGGAATTAGCTTTATTTTCCAGCACCCACATGGCGGCTCACAACAGCCTATAAGTCCAGTTTCAGGGGATCTGACACCCTACTGTACAGATGTGGTGCCCAGACATACATGCAGGTAAAACATACACGTTATTTTTTTTTTTTTTAAGGAAAAGAATTGAGGAGACCTGGTCCAGATAAAGTTTGGGAAACTGAGTCTAGAAAGAAAATTCAACCAGCCTGCCCTGGTCTACTTTTCCCATAAACTAACCACTGGGCCAACACGGGGACATGGGTCTTCGTGTTGGATGTCGCCAGCTAGCATAGGCTCCTGCTTGAAATCAGCCCCTCCAAATAGCTCCCAATAAGTTATGTGGATTTTTTACTGCAGCCACACAGCACCCCTGTGGGACAGAGGGTCTAACCCGGGTGCTTGGATCATCTACTCCCCATCTTTCTGACTCAGACACTACACTTTTTATCAATTAAGTGGATTGATTGGTTTGTGTTCCCCAAATGCCAAGGGCTTACACACTTTCTTAGATAAAAAACATAAAGCCAAGCTAGAGACTCTTACCTACGTAGGTCCTCATAGCTACTCAAGAATAAACCAAGTGAGCTGCCCTGTGGTATTTAAAGGCTGGGCAGGCAAGTCCGAGAGACCAGCAGCAAGTGAATCAGAGCTTTTTTTTTTTTTTTTAGAGCCCCAGCTTCTCAGCTCAGCACAGCTCCCTCCCTGCCCGTAGGGAGGAAAACTCCAGAGTTGGATTGTTTGAGTGGAATCTTCCCAACACACGGAGTAGATACATAGATGCAGAAAGATTTTGTTTACCATTGAAGCGTTACGGCATGCTATGGCAGCCGCCTCTCTCCTTCTTAAATAGGAAAAAAAATATTTGAAATTTTTCTAGGGAGGAACAAATATGTATATAGTGGCTCAAATACTAAAAAAAAATTTTTTTAATTTTCTGCTTTGTATCTTATGTCAATCAGTCAATTAAAACCCCACTTAAATCTTACGTACTTACTTTTGAAGTTAGAGCTAACGTATAATGAGTGAGGGTGTCTTAGCACGCCCAGTCATATAAGAGCTGTGTACAGACAATGCAAGCCTGTAGGCCTTGAATGGCTGTCCATCTGCTAGTTTCTTGTGTTACACACACTCCCCGGTAAGCAGGGAGGAAAGTTAGGACGAGTAATAAAGATGAACTTTCAAGATGGCTGGCTTCTTCTTCACCCTGCTGGCTGAAGACAAAGGCCAGGCCCCTTCAAACAAGGCCTTGGAGGCTTTTGTTCTCCTACAAGCGGGCCCACTGATGAAAAACTAGCTCAGCAAATTCCAAGGGGGATCAGGGTGTGTTTTACATAACGGTTGCAGGCCTGCAAAACACCTTTCTTTCCAACTGACCGACCCTAAATTAGGGGAGGAAAAACAACTCTTCAGAGACTTAAGACCCCAGCCCTGTGGACGGCTTTCACTCCGTGCATGCTGCGCGTGCGTGGCGCCTCATCCCCAGTAAATGCCTCTCTTCGACTGCAGATTCTCTCTGCTCCTGTCTGTGGTGTTTGATCTCGTCACGGCCACCTCTTGAGGTCGACGTTTTCCCTGCCTTTTAATAATTTAATTGGCAGAGAAAGCGAACCCTAACAAGACCCCTGGATCGTATCAATCACTTATCTTCCATGCAGAAAAATTCGTGCCTTTTATCTGGCCTACACAGCTTTGAAATAATGGCCATCAAATAATCACAAATTAAAACAATTGCAGATTATAAACTGTAGATTTAGTGTAAATAATCAATGCAAGAGGAGTACACACACACACACACACACACACACACACACACACACTAACCTTATTCTTCTAAGACCGGTCTCCAGGCACTGGAAAAAGAAGCTGCTAAATCTGTTAAGTGAAAGTTCAGAGCCCTTCAGATTTGATTGCAATCTTCTCCCATCAGCCAGTGAGCTTTTAGGAAGTGCGCAAGCCTCCAAGGCTTCAGTTTACACTCAGTTCAGTTAACTCTTTGTTCCCTGGGGAGAACTGGTGTGCTGGAAAAACTGGTGTGCTGGCTCATTCAACAGACATTACTGAGTACCCTCTTTTGCAGTGTTGGCACTACAGAGGGGCATGGGATTCCACTTCTTGCGCTGGCAGTGTTTACGTTCTCTTTGGGGGAAGTTAGGTAATATAAACATATAGATAAATGCACCATATTCAAAATAACCATAGCAGCAACATATTGAATGGTTATAGCTTGTAGATTCATGGATTAATTGTATGTCAACAAAATCATGAAGAACAGTAGAGAAGAACAGGCAAATGGGAACATTATGCTATGGTTCATTTTTGTGCTGCTAAAACAGAATCCTTGAGACTCAAGAGTTTACTTTTGAAAACAAACAAAGTTTACTGACAGTTCAGCCGGTTGGGCAATCTGAAATTGAGGGGCTTTCACCCAGAACGGAAGGCTATCTTATTGCCTCATTCTACAGTACAAGGTAAAATGAAAGAAAAAAGTGTGTCCTCCTTAAGGAGAAAGGGAGGGGGCAAAGCCATGCAGGCACCTTAGGAGTGGATTCCTAAGGACTGTAAGAATTTGCCTCTCCCTTCCTGTCTCATTAATGAGGCAGAGGCATAAACAACTGTTAGAAACAAAGACATGATTGTCGGTCCTGGAGCAGGCAGTGCAGAACCATGTGTGGTTAAGGTTTCAGGTGGAGACATAGCCCAATCCTTGGGAAACAGAGTGTTAATCATACACAGGAATCAACCTAGTTTGTCTTAATATAAGATGACTTTAAAACCGAAGATGGAGGCACGCTGGTTCTTCAACCCATCCCCACTCCTCAGTAACATTAACCCACTCATGACAGCAGAGCCCTCGTGGATCTCTTCACCTCTTAAAAAGTGCCACCCCTCAAAACTTGCACAATGAATGCATCGTGGGTTAAGTTTCCTCTGTAACAGGCCTGGCAGAGATAAAGATACTAGAAGACACTTTGTGTCTCCAATCTGACTATTGAACAAAGGGCCTCAAAGAAATGGGGCTCTCCCCAGGAATCTCAGAAGGGCCTGGCCAGAACCGGGAGGCCTTGCCTTCTGGGAAGTGATTTCTTTCTCACAGTCTCCAACAGCTTGTCAGAGCACCTTACAAGATGCCACCGAAATCCAGAAAAATGACAAGTCTTCGTGGAGAGGACACCGAGACCAGGACTGCTTGGATGTGCATACCTTGGACTCTGTTTAAACTTTAATCTCACTTCAGGACCTAGAAGACAGACTGGGAAGATGCGGTATGGCTGGATGCTGTGTCCTTCTTCCCAATATGACCATAAGGACCAAATCTCCTTTTTCTGCTTTCCACGTTTAAATAGGCCATCTTAATGTGCTCATTGAGGGTGGGTAGCTAGGTCTGACTAAGGAAGAAGCTGATCATCTTGGAAATGTACTATCTTTCTTATCCTTTCCCTCTCTGTCTGCCTACCGGGGAGTCTGTCTGGAGTGTAGACTCTAACTCCTAATCTCTCACTTCCACATCGGAATACAGAATTTGGGATAAACAGAAATCTGTGTTCCCCAGCCATGGTCACTCAGGTTTGGCTCTAGAAGAACCATCTTATCCTCTTTAAGGTGAGAACTGTCTGCTTTGTTTTGTTTTGCACTAAAGAATCCTAGTAGGATGATGAGGCTCACAAGAGCCAGAGAAATTATTAAATTTGCAAGACTCATGAAGTTACGCCTTGAGATTGACTTAACAAACAGTGACTACGGGGAGGAGACTCTTTGGGGCAGCTGACTTCAAGCTGCCCAGTGAGCTCTGGCGATGCAGCTCTCATTGCCTATGCTGAGGCAGACTTCTCAATGATGCAGCTACCCTACTCCTGAGAGATCATCCAATCAAGCTCCTGTACGTAGCCACGACCCCTGTCAACTAATTGGCTTACAAATATAAATAGGGTTCTAGATCGGCTCCTTCTGTCTTTCAGTACCTGGGATGAACAGGCATTGTCTGCGTCTCTCCAGCAAAAGCCAGAAAACACAGCGGAACCTGCACAAGGACCTACAGATCCAAATGTGTTTTGGGGAGAAACAGTCCTGTGGGAGCACAAGCTGTCTTAGGGCGGGACAACCTTTTGGGGGACCCAGGGTGTCTCCCTCTAGGTGTTATGAGGTGACATGACTCCTTGATGAATGGGATCTACCATGTGAGTACAGGGGTGTCGTCCAAACAGCTGATGGACTAGAGAACAGGTTTCCATCCCTGAAAGTATCATGTATGGGCTCTGATCTCAGGCAGCGCTGTGTGGTCACTGCCATGGGAGACGGGAGATGCAGCTGTAGCTGAGCTATCTGCCTAGGAAACAAGTGGGGAGGGGGGGCTTACGATGAGAAAAAAGATGCATGGAGAGTATTACACATGCCACTCCAATTTGGTAGGAGAAACAGACAAAAGAGTGAAGGAGAAGGAAGAATTGTCTTACTGTGTCTCACAGCTGGTGGTCTATAAGGGAAAGAGTACATATTAGAATCTATACTCAAAAACCCTTCCTTATATCCAAAGATGGTGTCCTAGTTAGGGTTTCTAGTGTTGTGAAGAGACACCATGACCACAGCAATTCCTTTT